ATTCATCAGAGGTCGACACATGCCCCGCTGTCCGCACTCTCTTCTATCGACCACTCCCTGCGCAGAAAAGAAACTTTAACACTGTGTGTACGGTGCTTCACTGTAGTGCTATGAATTGCGTCGTACCGGCGAAGGTTTTTTCACCATCCCTCATTTCCGTTCACAAGCCTGTCACGAGGGCAGGATGGTCGGATGCAATCGATCCGTTTGACAGGCGCCGACCAGGGGTACGTTGACAATCGTTGGGAGGCCAGAAACGCCGAGGTCGGCTGAGGAACATTGAATAGAGCTCGAACGGCGGCAACACTGGCGCTTGAACGCCAGATCGAACCAAACCAATGCGACTTGGTCGGCACATGCTTAACGCCTTCACTGGTCGAAAACTGGCACAAAAAAGAACAGGCAAACAATACGCACCTCAGCGGTTCTGAAAGATGCTTATTTCCGCTTCACGGTTATTCCGCCACATCTGATACGTATCAACTCTTACCGTTATGACAGACGCCTCCTTCGATAAGCCACGATAGGACTGAGTCGCAGTCCACATGACTGGTCATTTACAGGTCACCAGACTCGGACGACAGTTGACCCGGAAACGCCCTGTGAACCATTCGTCAGTACTTATCTCGATGTACTCACGACGTATGATCGAATGCGCAAAGAGACCATGAAATGGAATCACCCCCTCCCCGGACAGGCCAGGTACGAAGGCTGGTTTGGGCTGTGACGACATATTTGCCTCAGGGTAATAAGGTCCGATCGTCTGCCAGTGATGGCTGTTGCCACAGGTGATACGATCACTCGCCTCTCTTTCGATATGGACGTGCCTCCTGTGGTAAGTTCAGCGTCGACGCAAGGTGCATGGTTAAAATACGAATAGATACGTCGATCAACATATTCGAAGGCCGTCTCTTGACTGAAGATGAATAAAGGAGGCATATTTCCAATATAGCGAACGGTCAGTGAACGAAACGAACCTCCAACGCTAAATGCAGCACGAACCATTATGACCGTGGTGATCCCGGCTAATCCCAACGAAAG